GCCATATCTATGCACTAAAACCACTATATTAAGATGTAGTAGCTTTGGTGTGTGTAGACTGCCCCTTTAATTGATCTGTTGCTGAAAGAAAGCCACAAATGACATATCCTTTGAATATAGGGTATTATATCTCAGATTATGGCTATATTGCACTTTTAGTTTAAAAATAAAACTAAAAAAGGCATTCAACAATATTTGCCCTAAATTCTTTACATTTAACACATGCATCTGCTTAAATGTTTGTTCCTTTGTAAATGTATGGATAGAATGTTTTAATTTCAACACTAAATTATTGTATCTATGAGGCTAAGAAGCCGTACATCGTATATATAAATCTTAAACCTTTTTTTAAAAAGAATTATGAACAAACAGAGATAAGCATTGCCCTCCCAGCAACATGACATTTCAAAAATATAAGACGGAAGGTACAGAAGTGTACCATGTACCATTTGTGCACTGCTAAGTAACCGAGCTTAGACCAATTTGTAAGCAAAAATAAAAAAAAATAAAAAAAAAACAGCAAGGGCCGTTGTTGACAAAGTCTCGTCCAGCCCTTTCTTTCCAAGAAAATTGCGTAACATGTACAGAAATAGCAGCCAAAAAAAATAAAACTTGATAGCAGTAGAGAACAGAACGTTTCCTAAAGGACAGGAGCGGAGAAGCGTGCAGTTTGCTGGGGAAAAAATAGCTCTTATGGTGTAACCCCTTCCTCGCTTTTTTATAAAATCATACTGCAGATTTATATAATCAAAAACTAAGTAAGAAAATAAAAATAAACTATGTAGTGAGAGATACGGGATGCACTTTATAAAAGATGGATAGATGGATGGATAGACAGACAATTAGATAGATTGATCTTTTAAAGCTTGTTTATTTAATAATTTAAATTATATGATTATCCTTTCATTACTTAGTGCAAGGGTAGAAATTTCTAGCCTTTAACAGACTACGACTCAAATAAATTCACAGTCGAGGCACTGGTACCAGTTCATGGACATTGTAGTTCATAAACAGCTGGAGAACAGATATTTGACTATTTTTAGTTAATCATTGGAATATTCGCTAGCTATATTCTCCAGAGAAAAATCTGTACACAGTGACACAATATCCCTCTAACTTAAGGGAACATTTACACTACGGGGAGATTTGTAATATAACCCAACAGTAAATGTATTTTTATCATAGTTATCACCAGTCACAATGCACTGGTCACAGCACGTTGTACATGAAAGTGTCATATAACCCATCAGACAGTCTACACGATCTCACTTGTCCAAGGCAATGATGAGAAAGTGATACAGGGTTATTTACTAAAATGATGAATAGTAAGGTAAATTCAAAAGAAGCTTCAAATGTAATGGGTTAGATCAAGCACCATGGCCACGTCACTGACCTGAACGGGTTATGGTGCCCAAAGTCTGCAGATGAAGCATTTCACTGCACACATGGAGTTTAAAGGGACACTATAGTCACCTGAACAACTTCAGCTTAATGAGGTTGTTCAGGTGAGAACTATAGCTCCCTGCAGCCTTTCTAATGTAAACACTGTATTCACTGAGAAAATACAATGTTTACATTGAAAGCTAGGAACACCTCCAGTTGCAGTCACTCAGAGTGAACCAGAGGGACTTCGGAGTTGATGGAGGCATAATATGCCTCCATCCACTCAGACCTGCTGTCAGCAGAGCACAGGGCAGCACTGTGCACAGCATCCTGTGATTCAGTATCTCCTCTTTCTGCATGCAGACACTGAACTTTCCTCACAGAGATTCATTGATTCAATTCATCTCTATGAGGAGATGCTGATTGGCCAGGGCTGTGTTTGAATCATACTGGCTCTGCCCCTGATCTGCCTCCTTGTCAGTCTCAGTCAATCCTATGGGGAAGCACTGTGATTGGATCAGGCTATCACATGTCAGCAGACTGCTTGTTTTTCCTGAGTCTAACAGCATGCAGATTTACAGCTTCAGGGTTGAATACAGTAAGATTTTTACTATATTTATGGAGGCATGAGGGGCCCAGGGGGGCTAGATGGTCGTGTTAACACTATAGGGTCAGCAATACATGTAGTTGCACTGGTGACTATAGTGTCCCTTTAACCTCTCTGCTGATGGAAATGCAGCATCATTGGATTGTCATCAGCCAGCTTGAAATTAGAGTTCCAGGCTGGGTGATGTCAATTCTATGCAACCTTCCTTACACAGATTATCAGACATTGACTGAGAGCGGTCAGCTGACAATGTCAGGCAATGAATGGTGAATTCTCTCTTCTGGCACATTGTTCAACCTCTTGTTATCTTTATACCTTTCTCTTAGATTGTGAGCTCCTTTGAACAAGGCCTTCTACACTTCTTGTCCTAATCAACATTACTTTATATTACTGCACTATGTCTACACTAGTTTTATATACCCAATGTTTCATTATGTTGGTCCCTATACAAATGTTAATACTAATTGAATCATAGTCAGGGAAATGGTCCGTAATGGATGCATATATTTGCACATACCAGATATTCTCATATTGCAAAAACATACAGCCTTTGGCTGTATTACTTTATGTCAAAGATATAAAGTTAGAGAAAAGAAGAGTGGGAAAGTAAAAGATCAAAAGAGAGGGGTAAAAACATAGATTAACTTATTTCTAATAAGGGACTAGAATCCATTATATTCAAGTACTCTAAAGTTTTAAATGGTGCTACCTGCTGATTGTGTTGTTTCATATTCATAGAATTATGCTACAAACGTTTGCTTCCCTCAATTTTATACCCCTCCCTGTCACAGGGCCCTAATAAACCTTGCACTGCAGAGAGCCCCAGTAAGTGGATTATTCTAAAAGTAGAAGTCAATAGGTTGGTAGAGTGGTACCTATGAAAATGGAGTACATTGGTGTTGTGGTGGGCATATACAATGTATGATCATATACTGTAACTAAATCTCCATTATTTCTACCTAAGTGTTACGTGGCCCGCAGAGCATTTACACTGGGGGGGAGGCTGGGCCAGTCACATGATTGATCTCCTTATAACTAGCCAATCACTGCAGTTGGTCAATGCTTGGTTGTTCTGGCACTTGCCCCAGTCTCCTAGCATCCTGGTTCCTGATTCTTGTTCCTGGTGCTTGATCCCTGATCCTGGTCCTTTCTGGCTTCATCACGTCCACTGTAAATAAAGGCACCCATGCCCTCATAAATCTCCCAGGTTCCAGTAAAATTCTCAGGCACCTGTGAAGGTCATGTATGCAAGGGGTTGCCGTTCCACTGCAACTGAGTTCCTCTCCAAGCAAACCAACCTTTTGGTTGTCACACTAAGTCTGTTGTTGATGAAGATCTGGAGAGACATGCAAAGCACAGTGGCTTGCACACATTGCAAAATTTGGTGGAGGATCATTGATGATCTGTGGGTGTTTCATCAAGGTTGGAAACAGGGAGATTGATTTTGTGATGGACACATAAATCATGCCAAGGCTATCTTAGAAGAAAATGTGCTTCCTTTTTCTAAGACAATGTTCCCCAACTAAGGATTGGTGTTTTAGCAGAATAAAGCCCATGCACACTAAAATGTCAATCATGGTGTGGATATAGGAACCCCTGGATTAACTCTCTATCATGGCCTGCTGATTAAATCTGTACCCCAATGAAAATCCTTTGAATATAATCAAGAGAAAGATGGATGTCTCAAGCCATCTAACAAAGCCGAACTACTTGAAGTGTTGCACCAGAGTGGCATAAGGTCACCCAACAACAATGTGAAAACTGGTAGAGAGCATGCTAAGACACATGAAAGCTGGATTTGAAAATCAAGGTTATTCCACCAAGTATTGATTTTCTGAACTTGTGTTAACATTAGTAACACGTTGTTTAAGATCAATATTAACTTGTTTTCATTGCATGTTTTGAGGTTTAGAAAAACTGTCCGGTTGTCATTTTCTGCCAGTAGTTGTTATTTGGAATTTGGGTGAAATGTCAGTAGTTTATAGAATGAAACAGATATTCTTATTACTCATTTACTCAAACACATATCTATTAATAGTAAAACCAGAGAACCTGATAGTTTTGCATAATAATTAAGGGACTTATAGGAACCCAGACTAATTTATCTCAATTAAGTGGTCTGGTTCCAATGTCCCCTTAGTTTTAAGCCTACAACTGAAAACATTGCCATTCCGCAGGATAAGGAATGGTAATGTGTGTTTATTGCACATGTATGGTAAATTCGATCTTGATTAGTAATTATTATTATTTATTGCTTACTACAATATTAAGCTACCTGGTAAACTACAACTCCCAGAACCCCTCACTCTATAGTAGAGCACATAGGATAAACTTGTCAGTGCTAAAGAATGATAAGTGAACACTGTAATTGGTTGAATAATTTCTTAGTTTGGGCAGAGCTCACTGCAGATGCAGCAAGACATGACAGTTTTCAGCAAATCCACTTACTTTCCAAATAATGCAGGAATGGTTAAACTGTAGTCTGTAATGTGCTTTAATCATTTTAATATTATAAAATGATCTCTTTATTAATCTTTTATTACTTTGTATATTTATCTTTAACAAGCAAGGTACATTAGTAAACCATAACACTATGTGCATTATCACATAAAACTACAGTTGCCCTGACCTTCCTCACTTAGTATGCTGATTGAATTGAAGCCAGTAACACAACCAAACAAAGACAGCAATAAACATTAAATAAAACATACACACAGACACACACACACACATGCATGGCATATTCAGGATATGTCTACGTGGCTCCTGGTCACTGGCTGAACTCCATCTGTAATAAATGTGTGTAACCACTGAATAAACTAATTAAACGTTCACAATTTAAATGAATAGAGAAAAAAGTTTAGAGCTTTCTACCCGTCTCCTAAAAACTACATATTTTGGTAACCTCAACATTCAAGTACAAAATGAATTTTCTGAGTACTGTGCGTTATTTAGTTCACTGAAGAGGGACAGGGAATGACTATTAAGATAATAAACACAAACCCACACATTTTTTTGTTAAACCTTAGGCTATTGCTTTATTTATAGAATGCTTAACTGTTTTCCCAAAAAGTAGATGAAATATGTTTAAAACCAAAAGGTTTGTACCAAACAGGGCCAAGCAATGTGGCCAAACAGTCTTCCTAAAGGCGTTCATTGGGAGGAATAGCACTCCGAGTCTCCCATACGAAATGTACAGGTAAGATTCTTCATTTTGCTCCAAGCACTGAACGCACTACAGTTCATTGTAATGATGATTGTGCAAAGAGTCCGTAGATGGTATTCTCAGCGATTAGTTTCAAGCCATTTGTGAGTGGTTTAACAAAACTATTTGAAGCTTTAAAAAGTCTGGCATCTATCCAGGAGTCTAAAGCCCAGCCCTTCTGTGACACAGAATCCAATATTTCCCAAAATGTGGAGCTCTTTTAAAAGTACAAGTTTTTAAACTCCCTTATCCCTTTAAATTGTAAGCTCGTTTGGGCAATGCCCTCTTCACCTACTGTTTTCTACGGTGCTGTGGAATTTTTTGGTGTTATGTTAATAACTGTGATTAGAATGTAGAGGATTTTCAACTAAACATTGAACTGCACTGCAACAAGGGCCAAGTTTGCTATATTTTTGTTAAAAGGCAGAGCTCGGATATAAATCTGCCAATTTTTCTGATATATCTCTTATGCCGCAAGCTGAGCAAACATCTGTTTAGTTTAATTTTTCCATCATTCAGTGGTTAGTTGGTGGTACATTTGTAGGTTTTATTCGTTAAACAAAAAATATACTAATTGGCTCGTCATATTGTGATTAGATAAGTCAAATGGCAAATGATTTAGGTAAACTAGAAAAATGGTCTGAGCTGACATTTAATGTGGATAAGTGCAAGATAATGCATCTTGGACGTAAAAACCCAAGGGCAGAGTACAGAATATTTGATAGAGTCCTAACCGCAACATATGAGGAAAGGGATTTAGGGGTAATTATTTCAGATGACTTAAAGGACCACTATAGTGCCAGGAAAACAAGTATGTTTTCCTGGCACAATAGTGCCCTGAAGGCAGGGCCGGACTGGCCCACCGGGATACCGGGAAATTTCCCGGTGGGCCGCGGCACCTGGGGGCCGGCCGCGTTCCTGGGCCGGCCCTTTAAATACTGCAGCCGCCCGAGCGCTCTGTTAAGAGCCTCAGGCGGCTGCAGCTCCTCCCCTCCCCTGTAGCGTGGCCGAGCTGCACTCCGGTCCGTGGTGGCCGGCCGGCCGGAGTGATAGGAAGATGCACACTGAGTGTGCACTTCCTGTCAGTCCGGCCGGTTACAGGAAACAGAAACTCCTGTTCCGCGCGGAGTTTCTGTTTCCTGTTACCGACTGGACTGACAGGAAGTGCACACGGAGTGTGCACCTTCCTATCACTCCGGCCGGCCGGCCACCGCGGACCGGAGTGCAGCTCGGCCACGCTACAGGGGAGGGGGTAAGAAGAG